CCATTAAAAAAATCAATGGCAGTATCGATAATAAAAGAAAAACAAGTAAAATTATTATGGGAAGTATAAGTGCTAGCTAAAATGATTAATGAAACATTAGTCAAATAGATAATATAATAGGCCATATTCACCAAAGGTAAACTTAACAAAAATATAAATATCAACCTTGACTTTGTTGAAAAGTTCACGTGAACAAAACATACTACTGAATAGTATATAGTGTCAAATGGAAACAGTTTTTGAGTTTCTTATTCTTTGCAAAGATATTGCTTGCTAAGTTTCCTATTACTTTTTAAAGTTCATTAGAAAAGGATCATAAATTCAGGACACTTAAAATGACCTTTTATTGTTAAAGGAGGCCCTGCAATGGCTCCAGAAGGCAGAAAAAAGTAAGAGGAATTCATATTGTGAAAGGTAAGAGGAATTCATATCGTGAAAGGAAAAAAGTACTCATCAGCATTCAAGGATTAGTAGGTTAGATGAGGCAAAGGGAGAATTCAGTCAGAATTAACCATCCACAGAATCGTAAACTGGGGAACAGTTTTCCCTTGGGTAAATTTCAAAGCAGAAGAACAGATACTAATGCAAACACTAATAACAACTCTAGATGTTAAATTACATCATAATCCTATCAATCGTCATCTAAGAACAGCCCCTCACATGAATAAGAACTGGCCATTTGGCCAGTGTTTTAGTTTCCACTCTTTACTGGAGTCTAGGCTAATCCTATGGTGAAGGGCTGACAGAATATATTAATAGTAAGTAGGGCCTCCTCAGGATCTCTTTTGGAGAATTCCCTAGGAATTGGTAAACAGCGTTAACTAAGAGGCCAAAGGGAATTTTCTCAGTGCTCCTTGCCATGGGTCGCTGCATGGAAAGGGGCAGAAAAGAACAGAATTTTACCTTGTAACAGCACGTAGTCATTCGTGTAAGAGCTGCACCCGGACTTTTGACCTGATTATTTAGGGAACAAAAAGGGGGCTGTTTCTGAAATCATACATCAGATGACCTCGTTGGTTGCTATTGTCCTATAATCTAGTCGCAAAAGACACATCCAAACATCTTTGGGTTTCTTGTGAGGTCAGGCTCATATCTACCAGAAGCTTGAACTCCATTATGAATTTCTATGCTCATAAAGTCTTTATGCATTGGAGTGGGACCTGTGACCAACACCAAAGGCATAAACTCATTTATTAAAAATGCTGCAAACATTTCCTAGTAGTGACTATTTTCCATGCTGGTGAACTCAGCTTAGATTCCTTCCAGGGTTAAGACTTTGTTTTAAAATCCTCTTTATGCCTGCTCCCTGGTTCAGCCAATCTGTATGCACATTGTATACACATAGAAATGCTTACTTATACTTGTATTTCAGTACTTTCTATTGATTTTAATAGGATTTTGCACATGTTCATAGTTAAAAAACCAGAATGTTATTGTGTGGGCTCATTTTTAAAAGGGAATATTTTACTCAAAATCATACTGCTTACATAAGCTAAGAGTTAACTAAAAGCTAAGAGTTAACTAAAAGACAGAAATTGATATTCAAAACCCCACTTGTCAGGAAAGAAGTGGAGAGAGACCTGACAATTTTACTTTCTTTCCCTTTCCTTCTAAACAAGCAGGAAAATGGTCAAAAGATAGTCTGCAGAAGGGAAAAGGAGAGGATATTAGTCAATAATCTGACAATTAGCTCCTCAGTGATTGGGAGTTTATATTTTTTTAAACATCATATTAATTATGGACTCATTATTTGACAAAAGAAACTAGATGTTTTAAGAAAAATGATGACAAGTACTGTTATTCCAAAGATGTATAATTCTTAATCTATGTCTACTACATAGTTCATGAAAAGACATAAAATCAGCTCTATTTTCTCATATCCATCTATGAATCATAATTTCAAACTTTTAAAATATCTAAAAATGATAAACCTCAATGAATTAAAAAAAACTATTAAGATAGTAGCACCAAAATATACAAGTACAAACACCAAGCAAATAATTCTGTGGCAGTAGGTTTTAAAATTATTGAAAACAAATATTAAGATAATTATCAATGTAGATATAAAAATTATTAAAATGATACTTCTTACTTTAAATTTCTCAATGCTGTCAACCAACACACATCTTTTTAGGCATGTTCCTTCAAATTTTAAAGCACACTTTCAAACAACTGACCTTACAGGGTAGAACTTTTAAATGGGTTGTGTGCTAAATTATGCAAAAGAACCAGAAAAGGTCAGAACAATTACCCTCCTTGCATAGGAAAGAAGATTAGATTGGAAGTGAGGAAACTTAAATCCCAGAAAAAATAATACTGGACCTTAAGCTGGTTACTTAACATCTTTATGGTTCTTTTTCCTGTCCTATGAATGAAGATATGATCAAGTGGCTTATGTTTTAGTCAGAACTTTCTTTAGCCCCAACATCAGGGTTACAATTTTCAGTCATGCATTTATAATTTGGAAATAGTAAAGAACCATGGGTCAATGCTACATTAATCAGAGAAAGCGAACCATCAATAACCTTCAGTTTAAAGGCCAGCATTCTGAATAAAGCTGACATACCTTTGGCTCAGACCCACTGGACCCCTCTTCTTCGTGGAGGTTAAGCCTTGGCTTGCCATCTGCAGGAGAAGTCCTACTCATCTTTTTCATACCGACAGGCACACAGGGTTTAGGTTCCTCTATTACAAACTTGCTGGTTTCTTCCAGAGATTTCTGATATGCTGCTAGTGATGATGATGCTGGTTCCTCAATACGACCATATCCATGTGGTTTTGGTCTCAGAGTTTCCTTAGGACTCTGTTTCCCTACATCATTTTGGGATTCTGGAAAGTAAGATTTCGTCTTGGCTTCTGGAGTGACTTCTGCATGGTTCCCATTGGCTTCAAATTTCCCAGGTTCTCCTTTGAGATATGAGGTAATGGAATCTCTACATTGGTCTGGGCTGCAAAAGATCAAACATAGAAATTTTACAATAACACATGGATAGAAATGGGTCTAAATTTTTAACAACTACCCTCTTTCCCTGAAAATAAGACAGTGTTTTATATTAATTTTTTCTCCCAAAGTTGCACTAGGTCTTATTTTCAGAGGATGTCTTATTTTCGGGGAAACATGTTATGTTTTGAACTACTTTTGAAGGCATAAAATAGAAAGGCCCAAGAACTCTTCTCACTGGATTTCAAACTGTGAGGGGTAGTCCTGGGTGTGGGGGAAAGGAGGTGCTACGCAGGCTCTAGGCAGCTCCCAAGCTGGCTAGCTATGCTGTCATTGTTTGTGTTTTGTTTGATTGCACTTCTATAGCTGCTCGAATTCTATATCTTAAAAAGTAATTCTGAGCAGTTCATGGACTGCTCGGAGTTCCAGACCCACTAATTTAAAAGAGGGGGATATCTCAGAATGCTTTTATACTGCCAGTGAAAAAACTGCTGATAAGGCACAAAATGAATTCCTATGATTGGTACATATACTATATTGCAAATCATGTAAAACACTCATGTAGAAAAAAGTAAGGATATTATATAAAATGTCTTTTCTTTTTTTTTCTTTTTTTCTTTTTTAATATATTTTATTGATTTTGTACAGAGAGGAAGGGAGAGAGATAGAGAGTCAGAAACATCGATGAGAGAGAGTCATCAATCAGCTGCCTCTTGCACACCCCCCACTGGGGATATGCCCGCAGCCAAGGTACATGCCCTTGACCGGAATCGAACCCGGGACCTTTCAGTCCCCAAGCCGACGCTCTATCCATTGAGCCAAACCGGTCCTGGCTAAAATGTCTTTTCTTAATATGATAGAAAGATATATGACTTTTCTTTTTATTTCTCTGTTTTCTGTTAAGACTTTAAAAAAAAAATGTAGTATGCAAAAAAAAATCCACCAAAATGTTAATGGTGATTATTGCTAGATTGTGGGGTGTGCATTGATTTTTTTTATTTTATAAATATATATTTTTAAAATTTGAATAATAAGCCTACTTATGTTTCCACTCACGAAATAATAGAAATGTTTATAGTTCTTTAAAAGACTTTGAATTTATTTATTACATTATTTTGAATGAGCATTAATTACTGGCTCTGTGAAAAGAGTAATACACGTAGTAAACTAGAAAAGAGTAGTCTTCTATAATAAAGTACAATGTACATCGTTTTTTGGCATATATTTAAAACTTTTTCGCACTACCTTTAGGCTGTCTACAGTTTTAAGAATCATATTTGAGTTTAATGCAATTTTCCCTCTCCTACCTTTAAAGCATGTATTATCCCCATACTGGAATGGTCATGTAGAAATACAGTAATTCTCAAAAAGCACATATTTAAAACAAACTACTAACATGCAACCTGTTTCATTTTCCTTTTTCTGAAACAGCCATACCTGTCATCCAGTCGATCTAGTAACCCACCAGTTATTCTTCGAGCTTGAGCCGGGGACTCTAGGTTTCCACTGGTCTCATTCTGCCAACCTGTAATTGAAGACATTTCCAGTTCTGCTTGCTGAACACGCTTAAGAATAGCCTGTACTTTTTCTTCTGTCATCTCCTCAGACTCTACTCCTTCTTCAAGTTGAATGTCCTCAAATAGAGATTTGAGTTTTTCTTCTGTCATCTCCTCATCAGGACCAGATTTTCCTTTCTCTTGCTGCTCAGAGCTGACTCTTACTTTTCTAGTGTGTTGCAGTGGCTCTGCTGGTTTAACATCTTTTGGGGCCCCAGCCATACTTCCAAGGTATCCAGGATACTCACTCAGATATACATTCTCCAACTGGCTCTCATCTACATCGACTGCTTCGGGCATTTCTGTTATGGGCATTGAGTCTTCAAGTCTGCTGTCTTCTAAGGAAGTGTCTTCTGCAGTTACAACTGGAGGTCCATCTGCTGAATGCTCTACGTTTCCCCGGGAAGGCACTAGCCCGTCACTCAGTCTACTGGGGGTTCTAAAGGGAGATTCTAAGCTAGAGGTATCACTAAAATAATCATCTTGCTGGAAAGGGGTGGGTGGTGTGTAGTGCAACCCTGTGGGAGTTTCCAGTTCCACTTGAAGGGAAGGATAACCTATGGAAGACAGTACATTTGGACTGACTGGAATGAATTACGAGCACATCAAACAAAAACACATGGAATGACTTAAATTATATCAGGTATGAAAATGTAGTATGAAGAATTACAGAATGATAAATTTATTGGTTTAGTTCAATTAAATGCAATACAATGAAATAAAAGGCTAGTGCAAACTATAATAAGATAGGCTATTAAGATATAGATTGTTGCTACCAATTTTGGTAATTATAATAACTTAAATACACAGATTAATTTAATTCAATATAAAGTTATTTGCCACTATATAAGATATACTTATTCCATGGCCAAATTTATTATTCAACTTTTAGCATATAAAATCCATATTTTGGTGGACTAAATACAAGCAAGCCACAAAATTTTTTTTTTATAATTATAACTTATTTTAAGAACAGTGCATATGAGCGATTGTACCCAAGTTTAATTTTTACTTATTTCACATGAAATTTACAGCAAAGAAAAATGATTTTAGTATTTGGAAAGAAATGATAATTAGATTTTGGAAAAAAATTCTAAAGCCATGTTAAGAAAAGGATTTAAAAAGCAGATAAAGTAGAAAAGACTATGTAAATCTTTAAGTATCAAAATGTGTCAGAGATGAAAGGACTATGGTGTATATGGACATTTTGGTAAACTTGGTGAGATGGGTCCACTCAGAACCATGAATCAAAGAGAAAAAGGAAATGGTATAACAGAGACAGGAGGAAAACCATCTGCAAAGAGGTCAGAATATTCACGACAGGGCTATGAAACACGGAGGCTTATTAACCAAACTACATAGAGGGGACGGAGGGAGCAGGTCTCATGTTTTAAACTGTGCTGCATGGGCTAAGGGATTATTTTTCTCTTTGAGCAGAGAGAAAAGTCAACAATGGTCTGGTCATGGTGAGGAAAGGAAGTTTTACAGAATTTCAACGAAGAGGAGAGACAGGAAAAAAAAAAAAAAAATGCAACCCAGCACATTTTCTGAATTATTAGTCTACAAAACTAAAGCCTCATTTTTCCATCAGTCCAAGGTAAATACCAACTTAACTTTTATTGTGAATTCAGATCACTATAAGTAGGTGAATATTTTCCTATAATGGTCACCTGTAGACCAGAATCTTGTTGAAAAGCTAGCTAAGATTAGCTGAGTTTTAGAATCTGTACAAGTGATATTTAATACACATATTCCTAAAATTTATCTGAGAATTCTTAAAACAAGGAATAGAAAATATTGAGATGTAGCAAAAGCCCTTGTGAATTTATTTAATATTCTGATTTTAAAATTTAAAATTAAATGCAGTTTTTAATTCCATTGTTACCTGGTGATCTTGTATATCAGAGTTACACATCGAAGAATAAATAATAAAAGATTCTATAAACTATAATTTGGCAATAATTCATCATTTGATATAAAATAATATGTCTTCAGTGCAAAAACAGCTTGGTTACAAATACATGGTTTCGCATATAAGATAAGGCTTTAAAGGGAACTTTTCCCCAGGATACTCTGGTGTTTATAAACTTAAACCACTCTGACACTATTACCCATCATTCTTATGTTACGTGGATAACAAGGTATGCTTTAAATCTTCTGTTGACTTTGAGAAATTTTGTCACATAATATGCAGAATTAGAAGTTATTGATTCTTGTTAGTCAGACTTTTCCAGTTTAAAACTAGAAAAAGACGCATCATATTTTCCAAATCATAGAATAGTAGAAAATATCACTAGTCCTCCTTCCTGCATCTACACCCTTATCAACATTTGACTCAAAATTCATTATAGAAGTAAATGCAATTTGTGAAGGAAGATGAGCATCTTGAAAAACAGAAGATATTTGTTATGCTTTCTTAATACTTTGATGAAAAAAAGCTCAAATTTACATAATGAAGGAAAAATTACAATATCTATAAATGGAGCCAATGTAAAAGACGAATTATGTTCTTAGAGACATCTAGGCTCATTGAATTACATAGTTTATAAAAGGCAGCATAATTTCTATCACGTAGGGTTTGTCCCCCCAACAAATACATAAACATGAAGATAAAACAATGCGAAATAACAAATACTTTTTTGAGTGACACATTTAAATACTGGGTCCCAAAACAGTTTTTCAGCATTTTACTTAACAATTTGTATACTATATGCTTAAGCTGGAGGCAACACTTTACTTACTTGGTAAAATAGCTCGCAATTTGGTTTTATCTATATAAAATAAACTAATTCACTAGTTTTTTAAGGTGAATGTGAAAATGACAAAAACTGTGTAGTCTCTAGATATTAAAACTTTCTCCCATTTGGTCACATAAAATATTTGAAATTGAATTCTTTCAGATAACATATGCTTTTATATCTCATTGTTCATGTTTTACATAACAGATATTTATCATTTGGTCTATCAGAGTATATATTTGCAGACTTTGGCAGAAAAAAATTCCTGTGAAAATGAGAAATTAAGTCAAACAAATCATCAGTTAACTGACTTCCCTGTTTTACTGCATTTTTAAATTTTATCAAATGATTAAGTAAATATGAACACTGGATTCAATTACCATCAACAGGGTCATGGAAAACATTGTTCTCATCTGCAAAACTTCTGGTGCCTGAAATATTTCCATAATCAAATATTGGTCCTTCTAGCAGAGTCACTATATCTATTCGGTTAATTTTTGTCAAGACCGAAGTTAAGGCATCAGCTGAAAAAGGAAGGGGGGAAAAAAGGTTGAAAATCCAAGGAAATTATTCCTTTCAGTCATCACAACATCCACACAAAGACATCACTTTTGCAACCCTGCTGGCATTTTAGCTCTTCTTATTGCAGCTCTGAAAACCAGGAGGCCCAGCAAACTGGCCATTCAAGGTAAGATCTGTAAGGGTCTTAAGAATACCCTATAAAGCTGTGCTTGAAGACAGCAACATTCATTCCATTGTAAGATGCAGAGCCAATGAGCCCCAAAATAGCGACATTCCTTTTAGTTATAAAGGGATCTCATAAAATTTTAAACATGTTCCTCTCCTTTCAGATTGTCAAAATAGGTCACTCTCATTTTTGATACTTAGCAATTTAATGACTTACTAAAATCAGGCTGACCCTACAATAACTAATTCCACGTTGTTGTGGGTTGGCAATTGTCATAGTATAGCACCCCCCTATGCCATCCACAACAAAACAAAACCCAACAATATTAGAGAATTCTCTGCCACCACAGATCAAACTGAATACAATGATTTGATCCCCTCATTTGATCCTATTTTTCTCTGCCTCCCTGCACATCCATCTCTGACCATAGCAGTAACTTCATAGTGTTTGCCTACCACCCCATGATTTAACAGTTAAAATTATATTTTCACTTTGAATGGTCACAGACAGAACTAGACAAAAATGCCAAAAATAAATAAATAAAATAAAATTCCCTACTATTTGCTTTCTGAAAGATTCCTAAAGATAGTTAGAATATTTGTACTAAATTAAACAAATATATGCACTAAATTAAACAAATATATTAACAGTAGGTTTATAGAAAATATTGGATATATGCAGTTATGAAAGTTAAAGTAATATAATTTCAGCATACTTGTAGCATTTTTTCCATCTCTGGTAACCCATTTTTTCAATAACATGAAGCTTTGAGAAATTAAAGAATTTGGATTTTCCACACGTATTTGATTGATTTCATCCACTGAAAAATTCAGTTCCCTTGCCAGTTCTGTAGAAAAGAAAAAGAGTTATTGAGATTTTGTATTCTACTTTTATCACATGTATTTCATTTTTTAAAAAGAAAAAAAAATTTACAGTAAAAGCCAAGTACAGCCTTGGGCAATAATCATGATATACTTGATTTCACAGGAAAGTAGTGATCCTACATAGGCTGTGATTGAACTCTTACTTAGTTGCAATTAGATTATATAGTTTATTGATCTGCACAAACATTTGCTGGATTCTTTTAATTCAGCCAAATTATTCTTTCAGTTTGAGCAAACTTCATACAAGATAGGTAGGGATATACAGTTCATAAGTATATGGCACAAGAGATGCTGGTGTTTTCCCTAGGCATTCTTCATGAAGTGCATCTTTTACTCCCTTAATATTCTACTCTATGTCATCAAGTTGCATGAACTTCAGGCAAGATCACTGTCTATGATATGCTGCCACATGTACAAAAAATAAAAGGAGGTAACTTTCTATGCATCTAGATGTATACACTCAATCTTGTTTATGCAGAGAGTGTCTTTGGAAAGATATGTATGAGTAGTAGCTGCTTTAGTAGAGGGAAATGAAGTCAAAGTTGAGAAGACTTGTAGTACCTTAAATAATTATAAAAAGTAAGGAATGGTAAACATATCCTTCCATGGAAAATATTCTATCCTGCTTAAGAAATTTTTTTATTTTGGCTATTTTTGATTTAATTAAAAGTATATGTATTTTTATATTCAGTATTATTTTGTGTTAGTTTCAGGTATTCAGCGTGGTGGTTAGACTATCATATTTCCAGCAATTTGTCAAAAAGTATATTTGGAGGCTCAAAAAAAGTCCATATTCTTTGAGCATGTGATTTTACTTCTAGAGATCGATCTTGACAATACTTAGGGTTGTACATAATAATTTAATTACATGAATGTTCACTGAAGGCTTGTACTACTGAAAAATTGAAAACAATGCAAGTGTTGAACAAAAGAGTTAATTAATGTAATGCAGGGGCTTGCAAACTATTTTGATCAGAGCCTACAATAATACAATTAGAAATATATTGTATATCATGCTGTTGCTATAAATGAAACTGATCTTTATGGAGCAAAACTAACCTTAATATGTCTAATACACAGATGTCTTCTTTACCATCCTATTCCATTTAAAAACATAACCAAAGCATGAATTGATTCTATGTGACCCACAGTTAGAACAACATCATTGTATAAAGTATCTCTATTGGTTGTTATTGTTTAGCCGTTAAAATCAAGATCAGAGAATATTTAATTTTGTAGAAACTATGTAATTGCAAATAAAAAAGCAGTAAGTTGCATGGTTAATAACATTTAAAAGAGCGTTTTATAAAAAAAAAAATCAAAGTTCATTAAAATTACTTAACAATGATTCTGATGGACAGATTTAAATTTTGTTTTTATAGATGCTTTTCCTAATAAGCTTTATTATCATATAGGAATTCAAATTTAAAAAGTTAAATTTGTTTTTAAGTTTTTCATATGTGTTTTTTTTTTAAATTCTTCATCTGTGTTTTAATACAATTTACTGCCCAACAAGCTCTCATAACTGAGCTATATAATTTGTCTAGACTCGATGGAAGCAAAGACAAACTGTCACTAAGAATTTTAGCGTTTTATGGCTTTATGTCTGTCTATTCTTACATCATATTTTCTCCAAAAATTTACTCTGACAGAGAACTGGATTTGCTTATGGGAAAGAATTTAATAGTTATTGGTATACAGTACTGCAAAATTAACATTGGTTCCAATTTATTTTCAGATTACAGTTTCCTATGGTAAAATAGAAATACTATCTTTAATTTTATGTTAGCAAATGTTTACATACAATGGATTGCTATTAACTCTCAACTTGCAAGGGTTGTATTAACTCTCAACTGGCACGGGATTACTCAGACTGTCACCAGCCTCCTGGGTATTAGCTGTATATCTGAGAGCAAAAACTGGGTGGAAAGAGAGAGGAGGGTTCAATATGTAGGAGGGGGAGGGATTTATGGCAGTCAAATGAAAATTATTTATATGATCTACTTTCATACTCTCCCTTTTAACAGCATAGATAATTATTTCCCTGAGTCTAGATGTATGTCATTGGTGGTATGACAATAATTGACACTTTAAATTCACAGCCATAAAACATAATGGTTTAAACAAATACACTCAACCTACAGAACATTCCTTTTCTGCATAAATAGTTTCATTCATTTCACTATTTTTAAAAATTTTAATTGAAAATTTAAATTTACTATCATTCTTTTGCTTTCTTGCTTATGTAATTATTGAAAATTATCCTTGTTTTCCATATCAAAGTGATATTTTTTTTTTAAATATTTGAGCGTAAAATGAAGTCAATTTACAACTATCAGCCAAATAAACAGATAATATGTGTATATCATAAAAATTGTGAAGATGACTCAGGAATGATTAAAAACTTTTTAAACCTAGGCATGGATTAATTTATCTGTTGCCCAAGAGAGCTGCTCTAAGGGCATAAACCAGGGGTGGGGAACCTTTCTCTGCCAAGGGCCATTTGGGTATTTAGAATATCATTCTCAAGCTATACAAAATTGTCAATTTAAAAATTAGCCAGCTGTATTTGGTCAAACATTTAATTACTGCACCCCTAATGCCTTGGCAGGGCCAGACCAAATGATTTCGCAGGCCTTATACAGCCCACGGGCTGGAGGTTTCCCACCCCTGGCATGTTTGAAATTTTTAAATTACTTAAAAGTCCTAGGCCTTAGCACATTTTTTTTTTATTCCACAAAATAAATTTCCTCCTAAATAAAAGGTTATAGTACCAGAAATGGCATTGCGAGGTAGTGCTTACATTCAAGGTGAAATTTTAAGATTTAAATTTTTATCCTTCAGTGACTATGCACAAGAAAAGCCTTGAAAAACATAGTATACAGTACTATCAGTAATTATTTCTGGGTAGGTCAAATTATAACATTTTTTATTCATTGCTTGGTTATTTTTTATTTATTTATTTACTTTTAATAATCAACTGCTTGTGAATAAGAAAGAATTTTAAGAAACTATCTGTTGCCGAAACTGGTTTGGCTCAATGGATAGAGCGTCTGCTTGGGGACTGAAGGGTCCCGGGTTTGATTCCGGTCAAGGGCATGTACCTTGGTTGCAGGCACATCCCCAGTAGGGGGTGTGCAAGAGGCAGCTGATCGATGACTCTCTCATCGATGTTTCTAGCGCTCTCTCTCTCTCTCTCTCTCTCTCTCTCTCTCCCTTCTTCTCTATACAAAATCAATAAAATATATTTAAAAAAACAAAAACTATCTGTTTCATTCAGGTTTATACACTTACCTGTCCAACTAAGTCCCAGGTGATCGGCTACTATTGCCATCCTGATATCTGTCCGTTCACATGGACTCTGTGGACCTACGATTTACAATTTCTTAATTAAAATAATCATCAAGAAAAACGGGATACTGGAAAATTGCTTTGAGCAGTATACTCAGATTTTACAGAGAGACTAAAGCTAACACTGTACACTTAAATGTGTCCTAATCACCTACATGAACACCTCTTTTCACAGGACTCACTTGATTTTCACCTGCATCAGGCCAAATGTCAGACTACATGGATGCTCAATGTAATGGGATTGAACATGCTGACAGGCTAGCTACTTTACAACAGTTACAGAAGTGTTGTGTTGGTGAAAACACCATGATGGGGTTTCAACATCTGTGCTTTCACTTTGACAGAATCATATCCATAAGCACATTAAAAGGAAGAAAAGCTGCTCATCGTGAATGACACCAATATCTTCAGCATGCTTCCCTAAACTGTCTACGGTGTGGTTTGGTTAAAAGGAAGAGAGGAGTGTAGAGACAGCACACACAGATGACAATGACAGAATGAGAAACTACGGTTAAGTCACTCCACAGGCAATCACGACAGTTCATGCACTAGGGTTCTACGGGTTGGAAAGTGTTTACAAACTAGGCTCGTTCTCCAGGATGTGAGCAAAGAGCGCTCGAGAAACCTGACTGCCTTCATTCTCACCAGTCCTCCTACTGCTCCTTTTCTCACTGCCGGCCTTTTCACTCTTTGATTTTAAAGGCGCTGCCTCTGTTTTCTTATCTCTAGCGGACTTCGTGGTAACTGAAGGCTGGCCACCCCGGGAACTCTCGGACAACGACGTGTTTCTGGAGGTACTGTCTTCCTCATCCGACACCTCGGACTGCATCTTTTTTTCTTCTTCAGAGAGGCGGTCCACAAGCTTTAGGGTCTCACCACTAATGCCCTTAAAATATTCAATGGAATGTTTACAGACTTCCTTAAGCTGACTCTTCCTGACGTGAACTGTGGTGGTGGCACTGGAGGTGGTGACACAGGTGGGTCTTACCTTTACTGGCAACTTGGATGGAAGCTGTTTGGCCTTGTCTTTCTCTGGCTGCCCTTGCTTTTGTGGGGGGCATGCTTTTCTACCTGGAGCTGGGTTACCCCTGTGTGTGTTTTTTACTGGAATTCTGGACTTTACGTCTAGACAGGAAGAAGAGGTACGGGTTTTGGTTTTCTCAGGTGGACTAACCTGCTTCGTTCTACTCACTTTCATGTTTGGCATATGATTTGGTGGGAAGGTATCTTTGCATGAAGTGGCCTTTATGGGAAGTTTGGATTTTTGTCTAACCCCTATCCGTGCCTGTGTCTTTTGCTGCTCTCCAAGCACTTTCTGCTTCTCTCTCACACAGTGTCCCTGGAGCACCCCTGCCTTTTTTCCTGACGAGCTTTTCACTGGGTTAGCTTTCTCTGTGGCACGAGTGGGTGCGGCGTGTTCTGTCAGAGCTACGTTACTTGTAATGTGATCTGTCTGGATAGTGGAGGAATCCAAATTGTTGTTGTTATTAAAGTTATCTTTTTGAAAATCGTGTTTTTCCTGGGGCCTACCACCCATGTGGCTATCGGCTGAATTGGAAACCACTGTGACAGCTTCATTGTCTAATCCCTGACCACTGGTCATCACAGCTTCTATCTTATCTGCGACTTCTCCAGGGCCTTCTTTCTTCATGGTCATGGTGGACGCAGAAATCCCCATTTTTATAGGCGTGCGCAACTTGGGGTCAACTTTCAAGGTGTTAGTGGCTGCTGCTGACTTCTCCAGGGAGGCACTACTGGGTGTGCCTTCCTGACACTCTCCGCTGGCAGGGATGCTGGGTTTAGGTTCGACCGCAGGTGCCTCTACATTTCTCTCTAGATTGGTTTCTACAGTGGTGTCCCCTGACTGTGGCTGTGGTGGGGCAGTGACCATACTTTTATCCCCTTCCCCCTGGTCCCCTGACTTCCCTTCAGAAGTATGCTCACCAATCTGGAAAAATTGGAGCCTCTCTTCAACAAAATCCCTCTTGCTCATGTCAATTGCACCACTGCGAGTCATCTCAAACATTTTTCCTTCATGAAATGGGAAGGGGTTAGGCTCACTAGTTGGGGTACTTTCATCGGTTGGCGTTCTGGCTGGCGTTGTATCGGGGGTTGTGGCTGGAGAGTGGTCTTCCGCAGCCAGACCAAATGGCCTAGTTTCATCTTCCCGGGATTTACTGTCAAAAACTTCATCATCCCCTCGGCTATTAGACCAAGGGTCAAAATCTAGACCTTTGGTAGCTACTGTTTTAAAAGGAGTGGCGAATTCTTCATCTACTTTGTAACTGAAATAAGTATCAGGAAACACTGATCTGTCAGGATGTCTGCCTTCCAGGGTGAAAAACTGGGCCCCCGACTTCTGATCAGTCTTATCAGGAGTCTTTTCGGACGAAGAACTTTTCGAAGATGGCTTATCTTCCTCTGGTCCCACCCTTCCCTCTTCCTCGATGACTTCAAGTTTGCTTTGGCTAAAGGAGCGGTCGGCTGGCTTCAGAATGCCCTCCGTGTTCCAGATGTCTTTCTTAATTTCCATGGCCTGGCTTGGGAGCTTGGAATCACTCTCCGTCAAGCCGTCATCTTCATCTTGCAGGTCGTAGCCATCGAGAGAGTCAATCTCTGTGGCATCTGTGTCGTGCGAAAACTCGGCCGTGGTAGCAATGGAGCACTCGGTGATGGACTGGTCATTGTTCCCATTCTGGGCAGTTTCATTCTGAGGCGATTCAAGGCCAAACTCGTGATCTTTCCCAGACCCATTCGTTTCCAATTCCTTCTGGTTGGAAGCCTTTTCAGCAGAAGCCTTGGGTTTTGCCGTTTCCTTTTGATCACCATCTGCTTCCTTTAATTTGAAGGTGTATTTTTTAACTGGGACCGGTTGGTAAAGCGACTCGTCATCGCTCGAATCACTGACGTCTGCCCCAGGAGGAACCGGAGAGGGGGGCTGCACTCGGATGACGGGCTCAGCCAGCTGGCACTTGTCATGCTCATCTTGCAGACTGACTTCGGTCATGCCAGCCTCTCTTTCAGGCAGATAGAGATCCCCCTCCGACTCAATCTGGTCGGCATCCAGCGGCGGCGGCGGAGGGAACTCAATATAGGCAACTCTGTTGGTTTTGGGTCTTTGGTTAGAGTCCTTGCTCACACTGCTAGGCATTTCGCGTGCGCCTATGACCTCCTCCACCGTAGTCTGCTTTAGGGAGGACGACTTGCCCTGCTCCTCCTCCTCCGACTCCTCAGAAACCTCGGGAATTGGGCTGGGTTTACCTGGTATGTAAGCTATCAGTGAGTCTGGCGTCTTAGACGTAAATTCATAACTCACTTCCTCTGAACTGGGTGTTTCTGGTGTTAAAGGGCTTTTCCCAGAGCTGTCTAGGAAGGACACTTGCTCTAGAGTATCATCTTCTGGGCTACCTTGGGGAGAAGGAGGCTGCTTTTGCTGTCTAGTTGTATAAAAGGTCCCCCTGGTCTCTTGGACTGTCTTACACTCCTGGCTGATGATTTTTTTTACACTTCCTTGTTGAATCTCCTTTTCATATTGCTTCCCCACCTGCACAAAACTGACATACACAGGTAGAGTTTTTATCTCTTTCCCTCCCTCGGACGGGGCTAGCGGTGCAGCTTTTTCCAATCCGTCAATGGGACTGTGGTCGAACACTTCGCTAGAGGGAGACTCTTTTCCTGGGCTAAAGTCTAACGAATCAGGAGATTTGGTGGGGGAGCTTTCCGTCTCATCGAGAGAGGGGCATAGGCCTACGTAGCTCTGATGTTTGGAAACTTTGCTGATTTCTGAATAGGTAACTTTCTCTTCTTCTAGAGAGTTAAAGTGCTGTGTCTCCACTGTCTCTCTGTGACTCGACTGGGGTGACTTTTGTGGTAGATCGTGCTTTGGAGATGGCGACTGCTCACGAAAACCAACGGGAACGTTAGAGGATGGCGTTCTCCGCTCATCGGCCATCCTGACCGGGATGTGCGACACCGCCGGGCTCTCGCTTCTCCTCGGAGGTTGGTGGAGAGCCCCGCCAGGACGGTCCCCTTCTTTCACGACATATTCCCTGTATAAGACCTTTTTGGAGGGAGATTTTACAGTCATTTCCTTCACTTCTGAGAGAGAGCCATTGGTTAACAATTTGTGTTCTCTCTCAGTCACAGACACAAAATCACTCCTGCGATCAACCATTTTACTCTCGGGGTGACCCGTGTGATTCTCCCTTCCATCGTGAACAAGCACATGCGAAAGCTTTTCTTTCTGCAGCTTATTGTTAGCGGCTCCAGAACTTTCCCACGTTCTAAAGACCTTTTTGTCCCAGGGTCCCTTCGTTGCCAAATCTGAGGTCATGTGACATGCCAAGTCTTTGGCCTGTGGCTCAGAAAGAGAGTCAGGCACCGCTGCACTTGACATTTCAGTCCTCTGTTTTTTCACATTATCATCAGAGCCAGAATCATTGACAACCATGTCACTGCTTTGCTTGGGCTCATCTTTAGCTTTTAATATCATAAGATCTTTCTGGGCAGGTACTCTTTCGTCTGAGAGGTCTATGGCCTTCTGCTGTTTCTCTCTAGCAAAAAGCTGGTAGACAGGTAGCTTGCTCTCCTGCATTTTTTTAACTGGGATTCTGGAATGGCCATCTGGCCTCTTGTCCTCTTGAGTGGCATCCTTACTTTTGGCCTGTGCGCCTTGTTCAAATTTTAATCTAATGGAGCTCAGTTTAGATTGTTTGAGCTGAAACCCAGACTGGGGCCCTTCTGGTGCTTTGCCCTGTGGCACGCCTCCTGGGGCTTCCTCCGCGGACTTGCTGTCCTCAGTCTGTTGGGACAGAACCTTCTTCTCCGGGCTGCTGGGCAGACTGGACGCTTTCCTCTCACTGGCTCTGGGGAGGCCTTGCCCATCATGGGCATGATGCCTCGCCTTAACCCACTCATCGTTGGATGCCAACAGTTCTGTCAGCAGTACTTTCTCGGGGCTGCTACTGGTAGAGCTTTGAGAAGAGTATTCTTTGCCATTTCTGGGGCGTGCCTTTTTCTCTGGGGACTGCAGTTCATCATTGAGCTTTTCGGTTTTGTCACGAAAAAACTGTGACACTTCAGTCAGTTTTTCTTCAGCTTCCTTCACAGTCCTGTCCACCCTATCTTCATACATCAACTTCTCTCTCCCTCTGTCTAATCTGTCCTCAGTAAAGCGCATCCACATGGCGTGTTTTGGACTACTACCATCGCCAGAATAGTGCAACACTGTTACTTTATCAAAATGCTCATCTTTAGACACTTTACCTACACCATTTTCAGACACATCTTTATAGATTTTGGAGAGAATTTCTTTTTTGGGGGCAGTGACTACTTTTTCTCTGGACCGCTTATCAGACCCCTGTAACTCTGAGCTAGAGGGTCCTGCATGGTCTGTCACCGATTCCTCAGTATCGGAATGAGACACATCTAGCTTTTCTGACAGGAGCATTTTCTCAGCAAACCTGTAAGACTCCCCTCTTAGTTCTGACAACTCATCGTCATGGTATTCTATGGAGTGTTGACTCAAAAGCTTCAATGTTTTATAAGAGTCATCAGATATGAGTTGAGCAGAACTAGGGCGGCTATCCTCTTCTTGGGACACAGGAGTGTTTACTCTGGAAGACTCCAGATAAGAAGGCAAGGACTCTTCGGCAGTGAGTTCTTCCTCTTCTTGCTGACCCTGCTCCTCTGAACCGGGAAAAGCATCGTGTTTCTCTGGCAGAAAATCTTTTAGGTTAACATCTCCCCGGGATAAGTCTTTCTGATACACATACATTTCCTTTTCGGGATGCTT